AGGAGGAGACAAATGTGAGGCGACGCTAGCCTACACTTTGCGCGCACGTGCCACGTGCGGCACCATATCCCAGAGCGGGATGAAATAAGGAGAACAGACCTCTCGTCTGGCATGCGAAGACGCCAAACCCTTCGTATGCGGTGAATTGATCAGGAGACCTGGAGGAGAATGCCGCAAGGAGGCATCGCCATGTGCAGAGCTGCAGCCAATTTTCTTTGTTTAGGGATTTAAAGCCAATGTGCTGAATTTGTAGATCTAATTTTGTTTTGTTTGTTTGTTTTCTTATTCTAGTAGACTCTTACTAATTAACTTACCCCCCTTATCTGATCGTAGAACCATGCTAGGTATTACATTCATATACAACTTAATCCGTGGTGACGTGGAAAGTACTGACTTGCTCGGTCAGCTAAATTTTCACGTACCAATAAGAAACACTAGATCCTTTTTACCATTAGTTTTGCCCCACTGTAGAACATCCTTTGAACTGCATGAACCCTTTAGAGTCCTCTGTGCAAATTATAACGATTTGTACACAATAATATCTAACGTTGATAGCCTCCCAAAACTAAAAACTTCAATCTTAACCTACTTACGCATGCAAGCAACCAATCCGGCAGTACGCCAGTAGTAGTCTCCCCGCATCCTTTTTTTTTAAGTCCGTCGCGTTTTACTAATTGCTAACAGAACAAGCACGTGCTTGGTGTCGCAAGTTCCACTTGATATGTACTGTACATAGTGCATCAACGTCTTGCAAAAAAAAAAAAATAAAAAAAATAAAATAATTGCGTATTCAAGTAATATAAATTTAGAGTCGTTTGAGCAACACAAAAATAATATTTGTCAGAAGTTAACAACATTTCTTGATTAAATCTAGCACAGCGTCTTCGATGGGCCCACCGAAACTGCTTCAACCGGATTTGTGAGTAAGTGAGATCTCTCCTTATAAAAACATATTGATTTCTGACTTTACGAATATATTCTATTTTTGTGTGTGCATTTAAATAACGATACGCCATATAATTAGTCGAATGACATTTAAATATTTTTACGATTCGATTAAAGTAACTTTTAGGAGTTAAATACATCGTAAGCAACAATAAGAATTTTAGGAGCGAATAAGATTTTGTAGACGATAAGATGATGCGATTTGATAACGCTTTGTTTTATGGTTTGGGCATTTGGCCAATATGAATGAATTTATGCGATTCTTTGTTTTGATTGATTGAACCTTTTTCCAATATGTTGGAGTAATTTGAATTAGTTTTCGTGGATCGATCTTGATGCTGCCGCAATGTGAATTAGAATTATAATATAATAATAAACTTTGATTAAGGGATAACCGCAAACATAATCTCTCGAGTTATCATGGCAGGGAGGGTACAGAAAGGGATGGCGAATAACAGCTAGCCACCCCTACTCCTGGTGTTCTCTTGATTAGCTTACTGGTCCGTCCGCGTATACCAGAATCCGAATATATCCTTTGTTGTTTTGAACTGTAGATTACAGTTAGTGCACTTAAAACTTTTCTTTTGCGTAGTGCAGTGTGTATATAGATAGAAGATGAGGAAAACCCACGACAATCCGACGAGCTTAGCAAAGAGCAATGCTAGAAGTGCTCGAAACCGAATCTCCTTATACACTAGGTTACCCTTAACCCGGTGAACACAGGCCAGGGAGCCCTGACGGGCAACCGACGATCCTAGTCTGGCGGACATAGAAAGACAAGGGAGAACCGACTAGCTGGCTGGCTACTACAATCTGAGACAAAACAAAGATCAAGCAAGAGCTCTAAGGAATTTCATACATGGTTGACTTGGGACAGCGAAATGTCAAACAAGCCCCTGGGATGTTAAAATCACCAAGAACTACTAAATGGTCCCTTTCCGAAAGTCTTTTGGAGACCAACTGTATAGCGGAAAGATGGTTTCAATAAATAGGAAGTTCCGAAAATGGAGGAATGTAAGAACATGTAACGAAAATGGAACAACAATTAACGCAAAGGAATTCAACATCGTTGAGTTCCCCGAAAGTTATTAATTCGCACGTGAGAGTGGAGTCGACCGCTATAAGGACACCTCCCCCTCTTCTGATAGGCCGATCTAGCCGGTATACTGTGAACGCAGCTGGAAAAACTTCGGAGCTCAGAATCTTTGGCTTTAACCAGGTTTCTGTAAACACAATAAGTTGGGAAGCAAATGTGACACTGACAGAATACAATTTAGGAAGTCTTCTGCGTAAGCCTCTTGCATTCTGATAGGAGATACCAAAGGAATTGTTTAGTTTTTTTGGGACGGTATTGACAGACGTAGAAGGGGCACTGGGCAAATCGTGCCTAGAAAGAGTAATTCCTACAGGCCGCTTTTTCTTTTTCTTACCTTCAAACTCTTTGACAACCACATGCTGAGGACAGGTTTGGGCAGAGCATAGTGTGCCAAAGACTTCGTCAGGAACGTTTATCTTGAAAGAAGAAATGTTCCTAGGATAAAAAAATTTAAAATTTTCCGCCTTAATTTTTTTCTCTATCGGCTTTTACTTTGCTTTGGATAAAAGCTATAACATATTCCGATATTTGATCAGGGGAAAGCCGCGAAACAAATAACTGTTTCGTTGGTGGAATTGCCATAAGGGGTTTTGGCAAAGCAGACTGACCAACCTTACTAATTTCGGCCGGAAGTTCGGGCCTGACACCCTGGCAGGGATTTGGACTACGGCACTGCGAGGACTGGTGGGACCCCCAGGGGACAACACGGAAATGGGTAACACCGGGGGCACGGTCTCACCCGCGACACATTTGGACACCGAGTCTTTTCTACCACTCGATCTTAGGATTCTTGGAGTTTGTCCTAAGGTCGAGGGCTGTGTCGAGGAAGGCTGCTGTTGAGAGCCTCTCACTGGTGGCTGGGATCCGACTAGATCCTGCACACCGGTTGCGGTTTTTTTGCGCCTAGGAGACTCATTTAACAGCTTGAGGCTATTAAATTGAGTATCCAGCGCCCAGAGCATATTTTAAGTTTTGCGAAAACTCAATAATAGCTCTTTAAAACCGCCCCTGGTTTGCCGCATAAAAGACATCATTTCCCTCTCAACCTCGCTGCAGGCCTCACAGCAGTAGCGTACGCCGATATTCTTGGCGTAAATTAAGTTTATAATTTAAGTTTATAAATTTTTATTTGAATTGTTTGTTTTATGGTTGACTTTGTCTTCCTAAGAAGCCAAGATGCGATTCTGTAATGATGCAAAGTCCTACCACATCCCCATTACCGTATGCTTTTTTTCCTTTTCTACCAGTTCTGTTCTGTATCTTGACCCTTCTTTCACAGGCCAGTCTCAGAAATGGACGAATAGTTAAGACATTCTCCATCCACTCGCCTAGAAGTGCCCCCAAGGGCAGCTATTCTCCACACAAATCTGTTTTCCGGCATTTAAAAAAAAATTTAATTTGAATTGTCAACTGTCAGTTGCTTTTTTTTCGATTTGGTGGTGCAACTTATTCGATAGTCGGAATATAGAATAAAAATCGAACAAATCTGTTGATATCGATATTAACGCAACTTCGACAAAATTACTACCAAATAAAGAAACTGGGTTGCTGAGTTAACGCAATAATGCAGCCTGGTGAAAATAGGCCCTTAGTATCGGAAAATGTAACGAAGTTTAATTTTATTTTGGGTTTTATATATATTTAAATAAGATATTTTAAATCTAAAATATAGTTATTTCATACAATTAAACATTTTTTTAATTTTATTAAAAGCAAATATATATATAAAAATACAACTTGTATGTATTTCATGTTATTTTTATACCCTTGCAGGGTATTATAATTTCAGTCAGAAGTTTGCAACGCAGTGAAGGAGGCGTTTCCGACCCTATAAAGTATATATATTCTCGATCAGCATCAATAGACGAGTCGATCTAGCCATGTCTGTCTGTCCGTCCGTCTGTCCGTCTGTCCGTTTCCACGCAAACTAGTCCCTCAGTTTTAAAGTTATCTGAATGCAACTTTGCATATAGTCTTCTATATACTCTCACTGCTATATATGTCGGAACGGGACGGATCGGACGACTATATCATATAGCTGCCATAAAAATGTTCGATACATTTTTGGAAAAAAAATTATAACGGCTGTTTTTCAATATTATTCCATAATTTTTGAGATATAACCATTTTATAATATTCCAGAATTTTCGTAAAAATTTTATGAATATCGGGCCACCATCTCTTATAGCTGCCATAGGAACGATAGGGAAAGTAATAGAAAGAATTATAACTTCGTTGTTTTTCAACGTATTTTCATCTACTCTGAGATATGAGCTTTACTTATTATTATAGAATTTTGGTATAAATCGGACAACTATATCATATAGCTGCCATATAGAAGCGATCCGTAGATGTAGAGAAAATGTAAAGCTGGGAGTGTATAACTGTAACTGTCAAACTTTAAACATAATAAGTATAGGTAAAATGTTATGAAACTCTGTTTAGTGTCTGTTTTCGGCATTATAATTTATAATATAAATATGAAAACCAATCTGCAAGGGTATACAAACTTTGGCGTGCCGAAGTTAGCTTCCTTTCTTGTTTCATTTAATTTAATCAGAACAGATTCATTCTTAATAATCCAATTATAAACTGCAAAAGTATTCAAACTTCGGCGTGCCGAAGTTACCTTCCTTTCTTGTTTTCAATGTAATTGTTATAAATAGAAAAAGCTTGATAGGTTTTATTTTGATTTCTATGCTTGGCCGTTTCGAAGTATTTAATACTTATCATCTATTAATATTTGCAATGCATAGGCATAGCCATCCCACAAAGACAGAAACAAATTTTTGCATATTAATATAAGTCAAGTTATATCCACATGTATTTTATTTTTATTTATTTTATTAAATTTTCTTATGTTAACAAGAAAAACAGACCTTTCTAAAATGAAGAGATTGTGGCAGTTCATTATTATAAAAAAATAAAAAAATATTAAATTAAAAATTAAATTACTTACGGATACTGAAAATAGGGCATCATCATATCGACCATTTCTGCGTTGATTAAATCAGTCGGATATTCTACAATTTTTCTTAGAAAGCTTGTGTCGGACATGACTTTTAAAGATTCTTCCCAAGAACTTTGTATAAAAGCTTTATCTGAGTCTGGGCGAATGGGTTTGACTTTTCTTCTAAATAATATACACACACAGTCCATAATCAATGTTATAAGGTATGGCGGTTTTCCTAGTTTCCTAACTGTAGCAATATCAGCAGCTTTGATAGTTTTTAAAGCAGCTTCTGCCTCTTCTAAAGCTGGCAAAGCCTTTTCCAATTTAGCCTCTGCCACTTGTTTTACTGCTGAAATATTTTTAACAAGAACTTCCGCTTGTCCTTTTTTTTCTGCTACCTCGATTTTTACTATTTCGGCCGCAGCTTTTGAGAGCTCAACATTTGCTAAAACTTCCTCCGCCTCTTCACTTGCAACAGCAATCACTTTATTCATTTCAATCAAATCTTTTTTTAGAATTGCTACAGAAGCTCCAGCTTCATCAAGCTTGTCTAATCCTGAGCTCATTCGTTCTGACATGATTACAATATGGTCCTGCTTGTCTTTATATAATAACTTATAGCTTTCCAGGAAGGATATTAGTGACTTTGGAGTAACAAATGTTACTCGCCGAAATCTGTCGTAGTAACTTATACATGTTTCTTGAACTGACTCGTGAATCCAGCTCATTATATCAATAACTTGTTCCTTTACATTTTCGGTGCAAACTAGCTGAAATTCAGACAAATAGTGTCTAGAAACGGCAACTCGTGCATCCTCTGGCCATTTTTGAAACCAATCTATAACACATCCTGATATAAGACCAGGAAACCTGAGAGATCGCATACGAAACTTTTCACCGACTGGAGAAAAACAAAGAGCTATATGAAGATTGTAGCGGGCGCGCGAAATAAAAAAGTCGTAGAGATTGTCTTGCGTAGCTGGTCGTCGAGGCTGTAGTTTTTTCATTATCGGAATAAGCTCGGCATACATCTCATCTAGCTCATCTTTAGCAAAGAGGTTCGCAATTTCTCCAGAACTTAATATGTTATTAATAAATTCTAAAAATGATTCCTCTTTGATTTCATTATCTGTAAATATAAAAGTCATGCCATCTCCATCAAGCCCTGCTGTCCGATATAACAATTTCAGATCATCAGTTAAATTTCCAGTATTATACGATCGAGTTAGTGTTATTTGAAAAAATTTGTATCCAGCTATAAATGAAGCTAATCTAGTCAAGCTTTGCTTTCCGGAGCCGCCCACACCAACAAGTAAAGCGTTACCTCTTGGATTACTTATAATTCTAGAAACAATCATAAGGTGCTTTAATGCGTCCATGAAAAACACCAGATCCATGTGATATCCCCGTATGTATTCATTAAATTGGGCCATAAATATCATAACTTTCGCTCTTACAAATTCAAAGCTGTAAAATAAAAATGAAGTAAATATACGTAATGGAGAGGGGCGGCTTTAACCTGAAATGCACTCGAAATAAGAACACGTGCGACTTTCGGGTTGTTACGCGACGTGCGTCTGGATGTTTATTTGTAGAAGGAGTAATTGGTACTAACTATACAAAAGAAACTAAAGCTAGGGAGAGCGGATTGGAAGCTCTTTGGATTGGAAGTCCGGAGGAAGAGGGAGAGAAAAGGAGAGCGTACGGGATCACACTGCCTCCCGAAATTAAACGCCTTTCTGGCGTGAACAATACGTTTAAATTCAATATATTTAAAGTCGGTGAACCTGACATTTAAAAACCTGCTATTGGAAACTTTTGTAATATTTTTGTTCGTTTACAATTAATTGTTTGTTATCAACTACCTATATCTGTCAGAAATTTGCAATGTTTTTTTACCTACGGTCGTCAGTTTCATAAAAAAATACTAAGAAGCGATTTTTGCCTAAAACAAATAAAGGTACTTGCAGTAACAGTACCAAATCATCAGACCATTTCGCTAACTATCATTACATATCGTCTTACTCCTAAATCTGAACAAGAACCCGTTGATGCGGGAACAAAAGACCCACAATTCAGCAATTAACTTCATATATTTAAGGGTATACTAAAATAAATAGTAGACTCTTAGCCTTCGAAACTGGGAATAAAATAATTTTATTTTGTGTTACCTTGGAATTTCTTCATAGATTTTTGGGGGCTCAAACGACATTTCTTCATCTTCTTCTTCTTGGCCCTCAGGCGGGTCACGCAAAAAGTCTACCCAATATGTTGTCTCTTCCGGGTAGTGCTCAAAAAATTCCAATAAATTTGCCTCTGCATCAATTCTCATTTTTGTTAAAAACCAATTTTTATCCTTCTCAGCCGTAAAACGGTCAGATATAACTCTCGTGCACTCATGACACCATAATTTTAGGATCTGCTGTACGGTTTGACATTCTTCACGTTTAACTTTAAGTATTCCTTCCCAAATCCGAGATAGATCGCGCAAATTAAATACATAATGAAAATTTGCTGGTGTTGGTAACATTTTGGTCTTAACGTTTTGCCAAAATATTCTGGTTAACGGTACCAAATGAGGGATTACCATAACAATTTCATCATCAAATCGGTCAGCACAGAAGTAACCGGCGCCGATACTCTTAAAAATTTGATCCATTGAAGTATTACTTGGTAAAGTGCAATTAAATATGCACAAATGTCGCTTTAAACGGTTTGGAATATCGTTTCTTCCTCCACCTGGATGAATCATGGCTGACAACAACTGAATATCCATTATTGTTGAAAAGTCGCCAGGGCGTTCCAAAGAATAAAAACCACGTTGTTCTATCATTTGACGCACTATTTCGTTTGTTATTTGATCTCCCCATTCATTAATGACGGGCATATTAATGTCATCAATAAATATGGTCATTGAACGTTGATTTGGTGGTCCATAAGTAGTACCTTGTCTTTTTTCGACATACGATTCAATAATGCGCTGTTAATATATAAGAGAATTTAAAACTAATTATAATATGTAAAAATCCATACAAAAAAAAATTAGCTTTTGGACTTAAACAAATTATGTAGTATACGAAATGACAGTCTTTGTTAGCAGTGTATGCAGTGGCATCACTGCTTATGAGTATTGCTTAGCCGGCTCGAGGTCAAGGATATGGTGGGATAAATAGTGAATTAGAATTCAAGGCTTTGTTTTTCTTTTCGTTTTTTTATGTATTTTGATTGTTCACGGACATCATTGTTGCACTAGAATATTATTAATAGTAAAAAATTAATTAAATTAATCCGTCTTCAGGGAAATTTATTGTACACGTACTAGACTTCTGCATGAGTGTACTCATTTGTAGCATAACAGATCTGTACAGTAGTGTAGAGTTCTTAAAAATACTGCACCCAATCCTTTCTGTACAGTATACTCTATAGGCCAGAAGTAGATAGCACAACACTTTTAGTGTGCCCACTTTACGTGAGTGCAGTATATGGTTGTACCCTTCGGGAGTGAGTACTATATTTGCTGTACAGCTTGTTAGTTGTACAGCTTGTTAGTTGTATGTGTACAACTGTGCAGATGAGTTCAGTATTCTTCAATAAGTGCATAAAAATGGTACATAAAATAATGTTTCTCCATTCTAATATTAAAAATTTAAATATAAATTCTTTAATAAAATAAAATTCTTTATAAGAAATGCATAGTACACACGAGAACTCTATATGTGTGCATGTACCAGTCATGAAGTTTCACTCACTGTACAATAAGTCAACTGCACACCAAAACACTGTACAGTGCCTGACTACTGGACACCATTTTTGCTGTACTCATAAACAGCTGTACAGCTATGGAATGAGTGAGAACACTGTCTGTCAAAACATACAATACTACCCTACTGACTCACACCCAAGTATACTGTGCAGTAAAAAGTGTGTTCCCATTTCTAGAATAAGTGATTCATTTGCCGTTTTGGATGCATTCATGCAGAAGTCTAACACGTACACTCAAACGTATATGTTTATATATTGTTATATACCAGAATACACCAAAAAGTATAGGAACTGATACTGAAATTGAGGACTTATTTAACAAGTTGGCTGTATCATCTGATGGCTGCAACATACCGCAGAGATGTAATAAATGAATCAGAATTTGCGGCCAACATGTTGAAGAGGTGCTCATACGCAGTTGCTGTTGCTAAACATACTTTTTGGTATATTGTGGTAAATTTTACCCTGAGTTCGTTTGATTGGTGATGATAGTTGATTCTGATCCAGGTAAGATCCATGCAACTAATGGCTATGAAGTAGTCAATAGCTTTTATTGGTTTCAGCTTTTATAGATTTACCTGTACAACCCAAATAAAACTACCCATTTTTAAAATTCTATATGAGTTAATGTATGAATCTGCCATTTAAAGCAAAAACCATGACCATTGGTTACTTATTTTATTTATTTTTGTGTAATATTTCTTGAAGAAAAAAATTAGGCGACCAGCAACTAGCGGCCTAGCTGGGGAATGTTTACTCGAAGGCAAAGAAAAAGAAGACGAAAACGAACTGCAGTCGCACGAAAGTTTTATTGCGCTGGCGCAGCCATCAGTTCCAAAGGTTAATCGGCTACTCATTTACACGAGCAGCGTCCGAAATTGCCTCGCTATGAAAGCTATGCGTTTCGGCTATTCAGCTCGGCTAAGTGCAAGCGTGCAAACGATAAGCTTTTTGTTTTACATTGTTTACGTTTTAGTTATATTTTTTCTTCATGTAAATTTCATTTCTAACAACAATATAATAATAATCTACTGCTCCAATTTATCTTTTTTTTTATGATGCATACAAGAAAGTTCAACTTTGAATTCTCATATCCTTCAGAAAAGTTTATAAAATTTTGTATTATTATAACAGATTTGGAATCCTTGGAAAATACTCTGTCTGGTCTCCGTCTGTATACCTAAAAACGATTTTGCAATCAGGACTTTTCCTATTTTTTCAACGGCTTTTGTTCCAGAGGCGCTACTGTGCGACGCTGCGGACATCGCGATTTGTGCATTATTATCTCACTTACTTTTATTTCTAAAACCTTAACTGAAACAGAACAAGTTTATGCAACCAATAAGAAGGAACTTTTAAAACTTTATTATGGGCTCTAAGACATATGATAATTGGAATTGAAATTTAAAACGATCAATAACAATTATCTTGCGCAATACCAAATTAAGCTTCTTAACTACTAAACCGATGCTACTATTTTATAGAAAGTTTCACTACAAAAATTATTACCAGGTACAACTAATGTGGTTGCTGAGGGATTATCACGAATTCAGATGAACAATTTGTCCGATAGAGATCAGCCGAAACCATCCGAGTCTGACTAAAATACCTTGCATTCGGCAGAAAATAGTTTCGAAAACGTTATTAAAGAAACTAACCAGGGTGAGTTGGAGGGGGCGGAGTGGCCAGAAAAGTAGTCGTCCTTCTTGGAGGTGTGGTCGTCGCAAGGGCTGTCGAAGGCTGGAAGGTTTTCCCAAGTGTGTCCAAAATGAGTAGGCGAGAGGGGGCAGCTTCGTTTCACTTCACTTTATTGCTTCACTTCGGTATTAATACTAACTTAGATTACATGGAGAACAAGGCTGCAGGGACCGCGGAGTGGTGAGTTCGCTGCTGGAGAGCAGCGAAAGAGAGGGAGACGGGAAGAGCGGAGGACACAGTGAGCGGGAGCACAAGCTTGAGCGCAAGCGCTGGCCGCTTACACTGCCGCTCAAAACTTCACGCCTTTCTGGCGTGAACATTCTCCCCCCCCTTGCGCTAGCAAAAGGAATCAGGATCGGCAGGATCATGACTCCAGAACAGCTCCGGAAACGGTCCATCCGAAAACGGTGCTCTGAGCAACCGGCAAGCCATCCTCGAGTTTCAGGAACCCCGGTTGGATCAGTTTGGCAAACACATCTGCGCCCAACACGAGGGAGATGGTTGCCGGGCGGTGGAATTGTTCATCCGCAAGGCGGCTGTCGCCGAACGTAGCCCGTGTGGAGTCGCTCAGAGCCCGAATGGGAGTCCGGATCTTGAGGCTCGGGTCCAGCTTCAGGACGACCTCGAGCTTGAAGTTGCCTGTTCGGGATCGGAGCGTCGCCGAACAGACCTCGTCGTCTCCCAGACTGGTGAAGGGCAGCCGGAAAGCGGCCGCCAGCGATCGGTCGATGCTGCTCACCGCCATACAAGGATCGATCATCGCCGCAGTCTCGAACGTACAGGATCCAGTATCGACCACGACGATGGCTGTCGGCAGTATGTGGACCGTCTTCTGACGAACCAACGTGGCCACCGACGTCGACGGAGCGGAGACCTCCGGACGTGGACGCTCACTGGCGACCCGAATTGGCGATGAAGAGCGGGAGGCGGACCTAGCGGAATGGCGAGGATGCGACCTGGTGGGTTGGACAGGCTTGCGTGAAGGGCGTGATGGTGACGCCGTTGGCTGGGGTGTGCGTTCGGGCGCCCGTTCCTCGTGCATGTGGAGCAAGGTGTGATGGCTCCCTCCACACTTCTTGCTGCCGTCCTGGCTGCGGCAGGTCCCCTCGGAATGTTGGTGGGCGAGGCAATTTGAGCAGTACTTATTAATAAGTACTGCTCGGAGGCGCTTCTCGGCGCTCAGCTTTCGGAACCTCTTGCACTTCCGAAGAGGATGGATTCCCCGGCAGACTCGGCAGCGGTAGGACTGAGTACCTCGGGAACGTCTGCTTTCCAAGGACTGGGCGGTGCGAGGACGTGGAGCCATTGTACAAAAAACGTGTCCTGCGATGAATAGAAAAAAGAAAAAACGAAGTGTTAGCAGGGGTAGCACGAAACGTCGGACCTCGGAAATTGAGAAGCCCTAGTCCCTGGGAACGGAGGATACTTGATCCCCCGCAGGAAGAAGTATGACCTTATGGACTGGGCGCTTAATAGTCCCACGAGCGGTGCGGATCTCCACAACTCGGATGAGGTCATCGGCTCCTGGGAAGACAGAACTGATTCTGCCGAGCCGCCATTCGTCGGATGGAAGATTGTCCTCCTTGACGACTACCATGTCGCCGATTTGGAGGTTTCGGGTCGGATATTGCCATTTGTAGCGTTTGTGGAGTTCCTTTAGATACTCCTCTTTCCACCGAACACTGAACTGCTGATGTTGGGCCTTTAAATGTTGCCATCGATTGAGTATCGATTTGGCTTCGCCCTTTATCTCGGGCTCCGCCGTGGAGAGCAACGGTCCTCCAACAAGAAAATGGCCCGGTGTGAGGGCCAGCAAGTCTGAGGGATCTTCGGACATCGGGGAGAGGGGTCTTGAGTTGAGGCAAGCCTCAATCTTTGCGAGGAGCGTCGCAAGTTCCTCGAAAGTGTACTTGCGGGTCGCGGAAGCTTTGTAAAACAGAGTCTTAAAACTCTTGACGCCCGCTTCCCATAGACCCCCCATATGTGGAGCCCCTGGTGGAATAAATCGCCATACGAGCCCCTGATGGCTGTATGCATCAGTCACAGACTCCTTGACGGCTTGTAGGAAGTCTCGAGAAAGCAGAGTTGCTGCCCCCACAAAGGTCTTGCCATTATCCGAATGGACCCGCTGAGGACAACCGTGCCTCGCTACGAAACGAGCAAAGGCCGCTAGAAACTTCTCGGTTGTCAGATCGGAAGTGGGTTCCAAATGGATAGCCTTCGTAGAAAAACACACAAACATAACCCTTTGTTATGAGACACGCTCTCCCTGTATAGTTTTTGATCTCGAAAGGGCCGGCGTAATCGACGCCCGTGTACGTGAAAGCCCTCGAGAAGGAAACTCTGGCTGTCGGAAAATCGCCCATCAGCTGTGTTTGAAGTCGCTTCTTGTAAATCGTGCAAATTTTACACGGATTCACCACAGCCTTCACCAGATTCTTGATTTTAGGAATCCAATACTTCGATCGGATCAGGCGTACAATTAATTGACTACCGCCATGAAGAGTAATCTGGTGAGCAAATTGGATGAGAAGGCGAGCCAGTCTGCAGTCATAGGGAAGTATTATTGGATGGCGTTCGTCATACTGCAACCCTTTGGCAGCAGTAAGGCGACCGCATGCTCTTAGGAGGCCGTGTTGGTCGATAAACGGAAACAAGTTCGCAATCGGACTGGACACTGGAAGGGACCTTTTCTCGGCCAGATGCTTCTGCTCTTGGCCATATGCTCTGCGCTGCGCAATGGAGATTAAAACTCTTTCTGCCTCCCGGATTTCATCACTTGTGGGTCGTGGAGCGGGCGAGATCGAGCTCTTGCGGCAGCGTTTAAGGAATCGCAGAACGTACGTTAAGACCCGCAGAGCTTTGTCCAGTTTGGAGAAACGCTCAAGATATTCTTCGGACGGGGTCTGGCTGAAATGCACCTTGACTGCACGCTGTTCTAATTCGGTCGGATCGATGGCATTTTTGGCAGGCCATAGCTCACGAGGCCCTTGCAGCCACTCTGGTCCTTGCCACCAAAGTTTGCTATCCGCTAGGTCGATCAGGGGTACGCCTCGACTGTCTAAATCGGCGGAGTTTTATTCGGAGGGAACATGTGCCCAACAGTCGACTGGTGTTGCCTGAGTGATCTTGGCAACTCTGTTGGCCACAAACGTAGTCCAGTTGCAAGCAGGCTTACGTAACCAGGCTAGGACGATCGTGGAATCTGTCCAGCAGCGGAGGTCGGAACTGGCGGTAGGCAAATGCGGAAGGATTGCTGTCACCATTTCGGTTAAAAGCACCGCTCCACAGAGCTCTAGCCGGGGGAGGGACACGGTTTTCACCGGAGCCACTCGTGTCTTGGCTGTCAGCAGACGAGTCAAGATCTGGTGACCCATCACGACGCGGACGTAGATAGCAGCTCCATAGGCTTTCTGCGACGCGTCACAGAAGCCGTGATGCTCTACGATGACCTCTGGCTGGTACCCAACCCACCTTGGAACGCGGATCTTGTTGAGGTCGGAATATTCTCTGAGAAAAGACTGCCATCTCTGACTCATGTGCGTGGGAAGCTTGTCATCCCAGCCTAAGTCTTGCAACCAAATCTCCTGCATAAACATTTTGGAACGGATGATGAACGGAGCCAGCCATCCGGCAGGATCGAACAACTTAGCGATTTGGGATAAAACTTCCCGCTTGGTGTAGGAGGGTTGCACTATTAGGTCTGGAGGGACGAAATAGAACTCGTCGGACTTTGCCCTCCATCGGATACCAAGCGTCTTGGCCGTGCTTTCGGCATCGATATCGAGGAACTCGCTATGGAGAAGGTGCTCAGCTGGAATATTGCTTAGTATGCTCTTATTGTTAGAAGTCCATTTTCTTAATGGAAATCCAGCGGAACTCAGAGCTGCTCGCAATTCTTGGACAGAATCTTGGGCGTCTTTTACGGAATTTGCACCGGCCAGCACGTCATCGACATACATGTGATGCTGAATAATGCGGCTGGCCTGTGGAAATGGCCCTTGGACGTCCTTTGCTAGCTGTTGCAGCACTCGGATAGCCAAGAAGGGCGCGCAGTTGACCCCGAAAGTAACTGTCTGTAACTCGAAGTCTCGGATATCTCCTTCCTTATTTCGGAACAGAATTCTTTGAAAGGGTGTGTGCTTGGAATCGACCCAAATCTGACGGTACATTTTAGTAATGTCCGCACTGAAGACATATTGGAAGCATCGCCACTTCAGGATCTGAATAGTCAGATCGGATTGCAGGACTGGACCAGCATGAAGAATATCATTTAAACTGGTTCCATTTGCTGAAGGGCTTGAAGCGTTAAATACAACGCGAAGCTTTGTAGTGGTGCTTTCGGGCTTGATCACCGCATGATGTGGAAGATAGTAGGTAGGAGAATTGTGAGTCGACGGAACTTCTTTCATATGACCCAGATCCAGATATTCCTGAATCACGCTGTCATATTGCTCTTTTAGGGGAAAGTCTCTTTTTTAACCGATTTTCGTTTCGGAGAAACTGAGCTAACGCGATGGACCTCGAATACCCTAGATTGGATCCAGAATTTACGGGGTCGCAGAACGGGAGCGTCACCACGTACCTCCCGCTTGCGTCTTTCTTCGTCGTTCGGAGAAAGTTCCTCTCGCAATAGGAATCCGACTCCTTTACCATCTGGACTGGTAGATCTTCCACCTCCCAGAACTTGCTGAGAAGCGTGTCCAGTGCCTCGTCACCTACTTGGTGCACTTGAGTCGTGAAGGATGCGACTCTGTTTGAGTTCACCTGGGAGATCGGCCCCGTAAGCACCCATCCGAAAATGGTCTCTTGGCCTAGTAGAGAGCCGCAAATGTTTCCTCGCGTGCCACTTAGCATGACCGAAGGTAAAATGTCAGCCCCAATCAGAACATCAATTTGCGAACTCTCGTAGAATTTGGGGTCTGCCCATTGGAGAGCGGGCAGGTCTTTCAAAGAATCCCGAGCTATTGGATATGAGGGCAATTTGCCCGCCAATGCCGGAAGGACATAGGCTGCGGTGTCTAACTGGAGACCCGGTTTAGTAGGAGATCGCACTTGAAAATGGCAGAGTCTGGTAGACTTCGCCGAAACGGATTGGTTCAGCCCGGAGACTTGAGTTTGGATGCTGCGGAATGGCAGCTTGATCAAATTGAAGAGGCGTTCGGAAATGAAAGTCGCCTCGGACCCCGAGTCGATTAAGGCTCGTGCTCGGTAGTTCGTGCCTAGATGGCACACATCGATAATTGCCGTGCTCAGAAGAACGGCTGTAGTGCCAGAGGCGAAGTAATTCTGCACCGTAGGATTACTCGTCGATGCATTACTGGTGGAGGGTCCTGAAGATAGCTGAGCAGAGGGCGTGGAGGATCTTGAATTTGCAGGAGTTGCATTACGATGTAGCAGAGTATGATGTCTCCCTTTACAAGTGAAACAGCTGTGCGTGCTCGTGCAGTCACGTAGCTGGTGGCCTCTCGCAAAACAATTGAGACAGAGCTGCTTCTTTTTTATGTAGCCGGAACGCGCGTCGACGGACATTTGGAGAAAGCGCGGGCATAAGCGTACTGGATGATTCTCCTTGGAGCATAAGTCACACCCTTTTGGCTTGGTGCTGACTTTCGTTTCGAAGGACTGAAGCTTTTTCGGGACTGCTTGAGTCGGCTTCATGTCCTCGATGGCCTCTAATGTGCGATATCTCTCGCTTAGGAAGGTGTTCATCTCTTCCCAAGCCGGAATGTCGGATTTCGATGTTAGGGACTGTTCCCATAGCGAAAGGGTAACTTTCGGCAGCTTGCTTGCGCACAGGAACACCAGCAGACAATCCCAGTTGTCCGTGGATATTTGGGAATGTGCTAGCGCTGTCAAGCACCCCCTGAATCGTGGACTGCAGCTCTTTCAGCGCATGACCAGATTCTTTGGAGATGGAACTCAAGTTGAACAGAAGCTTGAGTTGGCTGTTGACTAGAAGTCGTTTGTTTTGGAAACGGTCTTGAAGCGCTTCCCACGCAGAGGCGAACCCGTCATTTGTGAGCGGGGATTTGGAGACGATGGCTTTCGCCTCGCCGCTCGTCTTCGTGAGAAGATGGAAGAGCTTCTCGACCGGTGTCAGCCTGGGGTTGTTGACATAGACTGCCGTGAATAGGTCCCGGAAAGTGGGCCATCGAAGGTAGTCCCCGTCGAAGACTTCTGTATCGCAGGGAGGTAAGCGGCAACCGGAGGAAATGATTGGCTGGGAGGGTGGTTGCACGGCTTGAGGCGTGGCACTGTCAATTGTCGCGCTGATCTCTGCAGAACATGACTCATACACCGAATAGCAATAGTCATATTTGCTCTGCAGCACGGACACCATTTCGAGGGATCCTTCTTGGGCAATTAGATCGGAGCACATGTCGTACTCCGTCTCTACCTTGTCCCATAAGGCTCTCACTTGTTGCTGGCGGACTTGTAGCAGATGTAGGGACGGGGAAGTTTGACCTGGAGTATTAATCTTAGCTTCAAAAATGCTCACACGATCGCTGGCGGCTATGAATTTGCGCAACGACACGGTTGCGGCCGTTGGCGGTTCGGCCGTTGGCTGTTCGGCCGTTGGTTTTTCAGCGGATGCCATTTTGTGGCTGCTAGAGCGTGTCACCCCCAGGAATTCCGGCTTTGAAACAGAGGGAGACTCTGACTTTATGGCAAGCGAAGAGTCGCTAGAAGCTTTTGCCACCGGACGAGAGATGACTATTCGTGGAGCGTTCGACGGACTTGTCGATCGACGATCCGTCCCTTTGGAGGTGGAAGCCGAACTTCTGATCCTCGGAGTGGAGGGCCTGGGTGCTGAATGGGCTCGAATGGGCCGCGGAGAGGATGTGTTCGACTTGGCCGGGGAGGAGATTCCCTTTTTATCTCCCTCTATGGGCATACTCAGCTATGCCCTATGAAAAGAGAAGGCCTGCCCCCCGCAAAAGAAAAGCGAGTGCACGAAAAAGGAACTTTAATCCTTAAACGCTGTGGAAAACCCTGCGAAGCTCGCAGAGTAACAAAAAAAAACGGCAGGAAAAGGAAATTGCCAAATCTATCTATGATCAGTCGCTAGCTAAAACGAGGGAACTGAGCTCTCAGTGACTGATCTACGAAACGAGTGCGGATAATAGAATATAGCGAAAAACAAAAAAGTAGCTAGATCTAGCTACAAACTAGGCCCGGAAATTGTTGCAAATTCTTAGCCACTTACTCAAAATTGGCTTCTTCGACCTTAAGTTCCGGAATACGACAACAACAATCGTAGAACTTTGCGAAGAAAAAAAAAAACCCGCCAAAACTAGCTGGAAAACGCTAATAAATTCGGAATATGTCAATCACTTTCGGGAATTGTATGGGTTTTTCTTTTGTTTCTTCGGAACTCGCAAAAGATCGTGAAGAACTACGTGGAAAAAAAAATTCACAAAAAATAGCTATAAAAAATAGCTAACGGAGGCCAATGGAGATTGATATGCAGAAACCGCACGAAAAAAATAACGCCCACCAAAACCTAGCTAAAAAATCGAAACTTGCTAAAATATCGGCTCGACCAAAAACTAGCGGCGTATAAACAATGGCTAAAAAATAGCTAAAGGAGGCCAGTGGAGATTGCTATCCTTTATTTCCAGGAACCGCACGAAAAACTAACACCGCCAACAAAAATATAGCTAAAATAAGAAAAATAGCTAAAACCTTGGCTTGACCAAAAAAGCTAGCTGGCGAAAAAATAGCTAAAAAGAGTGGCGGTATTTGTTGTTAAAAAATTTAAAAGAATTTCGGTTTCCTTAAAAAATGTTGTTCCAGGAATTATTTTTTAATTTTTTCTCGTGGGTGGACGAAGTTTTTTCGTCGGCACTTTGCCTTTTCGGAAACGTATTAGTGCAGGTGTTTGTGCACGCTTAACGAGCAAAGAGGAGACGAAATAGGAATGCACTGTATGTGCGTATGTATGACGCTTTGGAGTTTAAGCAATTGCTCAGCGCAGAATAGCGCGAGGGAAGCCAATATGTATGTATGTACGTAGGAAATATGTAAATTTTCTAGGCGCAGAATAGCGCGAAGCTTGCCTAAAGTATGTATGTATGTATGGATGAAAATGTGTAATTTTTGCTAAGCGCAGAATAGCGCGAAGCTTGCCCAAATATGTATATATGTATGGATGAAAATATGTAATTTTTGCTAAGCGCAGAATAGCGCGAAGCTTGCCCAAATATATTTATGTATGTGTGGAATGCGAGAAATAAAAACAACTATATTTATGTATTTATATATTTTTTTTTTTTCGGAGTATGGATTTATTTGTGTTTTATTATATATTTTTCCTTCTTTTTTTTTGAATTTCTTTAGTTAATATTTTTAAATAAAAACACTGAGGAAATTGGAAATTTAGATGTAATTCTATTTATTTTATTTTTTATGTAACAAAATATATATTTTGGATTCCGATGTTTTTTTTATATTTATATTTGGGTTCGGATTTTATTTTATATTTACATATATATTTGGGTGTATGTTAGGGTATGTATGTATGTGTGTAAAGGCTCTCAATAAAAATAATATTTATTAATACTATTTTGAAATGCAGTTAGTGGCGGACGTATTGGAACTGAGTGACGGAACGTGAATTTGTACAATAAAAAAAATATATACATATGTACATATGTATTTGCACTTGGATACCAGCGGATCACAGCACGACTATGTAGGGGGCCGATATTGGCAAAGTACTTTTGCACTTTAAAAAATGGGAAGAAATTTACTGTGGCTGTTCGTGTATCACTCTATGCACATATATATGTATATAATTTTTACTTTTCACTGTCACTTTTTAATTTCTTTGGATCACAGAAAAAAAATAACGCCTTGGAAAAGGAATATGGCGACCACGGACGAATGGACTTTGGACTTCGTACTTATCTTGGTATATCCGCAATGGGGCGCTGGAAATTTCGCTCTTTCTCGACGGCTCGAAGGACCATGAGTTGGAGGGGGCGGAGTGGCCAGAAAAGTAGTCGTCCTTCTTGGAGGTGTGGTCGTCGCAAGGGCTGTCGAAGGCTGGAAGGTTTTCCCAAGTGTGTCCAAAGGGGGGGGGCGAGAGGGGGCAGCTTCGTTTCACTTCACTTTATTGCTTCACTTCGGTATTAATACTAACTTAGATTACATGGAGAACAAGGAGACGGGAAGAGCGGAGGACACAGTGAGCGGGAGCACAAGCTTGAGCGCAAGCGCTGGCCGCTTACACTGCCGCTCAAAACTTCACGCCTTTCTGGCGTGAACACAGGGATTGCAAATAAGAGTTATGAGAAAAATAAAAGTTACTACCAAAAAATTGAGCTGGAGAGATAAAATATTTAGGTATACCATAATTTTTGAAGGAGCTCTCAAAAATAAAATAAACTTTTATAACCAATTTTTATTTTTTAATTGCGCTTTAACTCTTATTTTTAAATTTTAATAAAAAGTTGTAGAATAATTATTATTTTTCAATTTGTATGTAAAAGTTGAGTTATAACAATTATTTGCAATTTTTAAAATAATAATTGAAAATTAAAATTATTCTCCAATTTTTATTTTTAAAAATTTAAAATAATAGTTACGTGTCAATTTTTATTTTAAAAATTGAAAATAAAAATTGAATCGCATTAACTTTTCAACGGAGCGGTATATCTTAAAGATTGACATATATAATTAATCTACGCTTCAATACCTTTCGTTTGATGTAAATATTGTGGTTATTGCATGTGCACAAATATGTACATGTACATAAGTGCATATAATAAAAAATTCACCGTTTCACAAACAAACAAGAATACTGAGATAATTACCCTGGAATTTCTTGAACTGAAATTGGCGGAAATGGAAATTAATGGATACTCTCCCAAGTCACTAGACCCAAATGTGAACATAATGGAGTATTGGGAGAGTAAAAAATACACTTATCCATGCCCTTATACTCTGGCTAATGTTGTTCATTGTGTTGCTGCTACGGAGGTTTCTGTAGAAAGAGCCTTTTCGGCGCTGAAGCTAGTGGTATCTGACTTAAGGTGCAAGCTTTCCTCATACTCGATTAAAAAACTGATGTTTTTAAATTTAAATAAAATGGGAAAAAAAAAAAAATAAATAAACTTTTCTATACAAATTGAAAAATAATAATTATTCTACAACTTTTTTATAAAACTTGAATAATTAGAATTAATTTCTTATTTTTTCTATATAATTGTAAAATAACTCTTATTTCATAATTTGTATTATAAAAATTATAACTGTTACGATCCCTGAAACTAACAAAACATTAAACCAACTTATGATTCAATTATTGATAACAAAAGCTAGGATTACTATCCATGAATCTATTAGCGTATTTAATAAAATAGACATATAATTGAGTTTGACACTCCAGAAAATTTGGTATCAATTCCTGGAGAATAGTTACACTCAAATATCACTGTTCGTATATATATTATCCTTAAAGATTTGTATATAATTCAAAGAACTCTTAAGGGATTATCCAGGTTTTGAAACTTCAAAAAATTCATTTTTTTTCAAACTTTATAAAACAAAGTGTCAGGAATGTTGTCCAAAAATTTCAATTCGTATGAGTCACAACTGGCAATTTGGACTTTGGGGTCGTTTTTCTAAAAAAAAACACTTTTTTTAAGTCGGAAGTCACGTTTTCTCAAAAAAATTAATCTTAAAATGTTTAATAAAAAAAATCTTCGAGCAAAGACAAACCAGAGACATACACTAACAGAAAAAATTTTGTTTTTAAATTTCATATAAAAATTGACGAAGATATTATGACAACCGAGCTGACACAATTTTTGGTGGGGTTAAGATCAAGCCTGCCTCAACGGCTCATTATACCCTTGCAGGGTATTATAATTTCAGTCAGAAGCTTGCAACGCAGTGAAGGAGACCTTTCCGACCCTATAAAATATATATATATATCAACAGGCGAGTCGATCTAGCCATGTCCGTCTGTCCTGTCGACTGCTATATATGTCGGAACGGGCCGGATCGGACGACTATATCATATAGCTGCCATGTTCGATTAAAAGAAAAAAAATTCTATCTTGGCTGTTTTTCAATATCTTTGCATCGTTTTTGAGATATTGCCATTTTATATTATTCCAGAATTTTTGTAAAAAATTTATGAATATCGGACCACCATCTCTTATAGCTGCCATAGGAACGATCGGAAAATGAATGGGAAAAAAATTATAACTTCGTTGTTTTTTAACATATTCTTATCTACTTTTAGCAGGGATCGTAACAGTTATAATTGTTATAATACAAATTATAAAATAAGAGTTATTTTACAATTATATAGAAAAAATATGAAATTAATTCTTATTATTCAAGTTTTATAAAAAAGTTGTAGAATAATTATTATTTTTCAATTTGTATATAAAAGTTGAGTTATAAAAATTATTTGCAATTTTTAAAATAATAATTGAAAATTAAAATTATTCTCCGTGTCAATTTTTATTATAAAAATTGAATCGCAATAACTTTTCAACGGAGCGGTATATCTTAAAGATTGGCATATATAATTAATCTACGCTTCAATACCTTTCGTTTGATGTAAATATTGTGGTTGTTGCA